AAGAAGAAAAACAATTATAAATAAACAGTTATACCAGGCGCAATATGTAGGCAACTGTACTTATATCTGATTGGCAGAAAGGCGCTTTCGAGATTATGTATTTTACATCTAATTGGGAGAATCAATTGTTGCTATTTGAAAGAAACCAAAAAAAAATGGTACAAAAGTGGCTTTGGTATTCATGGTGACAAAGGATTCCCGCCGACAGTCAGCGACCAGTAAGTCAAAGCCACCTTCACATCTAATTTAACTTTCATTTATTAATGCCTGTTCTGACCGAGTCTTACCTCTGCTTGTCAAACTCGAGCCTCACATCATCTCCAATCAGCGTAAACGAAGCCCACTCAGACATTTTTCTCAAGCCGTTTTTTCTCATCCACTTCATGGCTTGATGAAGGGATTCACTGGCACTTTCTCCTTCAACAAGGTGTTTGTAGAACCGATTCATCAGCTGCTCCGTTGCTAAGTCTGGAATGGCCCACAGCGCAGCTAACACCGAGCGAGCACCAGATCCTAAGAACGCACGGGCAATTCCTATCACTCCCTCGGCTGTTATCTCACCTCTTCCACTGTGACAGCAGCTAAGTACCACCAGTTTAGCTCTAACTTTCACTCGTGAGACATCAGCCATCGTCAACATGTAAGCTTCCTGTGGTGGGATAGCATTTTGACTGTTGGGAATAGGAATGGGGGAGAGGGCAATTTCTCCTCTTTGGGCGTTGCCATGGGCAGCAAAATGTATCAGGCTCACTGAACCTATCCGCTCAAGCACCGCCTGCTTCGTTGCTTTCTCTTCTACCAGAGGCGGAACACGCATCAGTCGTCCAACCATCTCCGCTTCCCTTCTTGCAAATGGCAATGACGGCAGCCAATTAACCTTGGGATTTCCTATTATCAAGGCACCAGTGTTACTGTGATAGCCCTCTGGACTATCTTGAATAATCTTGAGTGTTGTCAAGGAAGGAATGACACGGATCTTATGAGTCTCCGAGAGGAATTCGGCTCCCTCCTTTTCACTCAGTGCAGCGAATGGAACTTTGTACAAACTGCGGTCAGGAACGATGATGACTTCAGGCTCCTCCAGCAAATCATAAACGGGAGCGATAAACATTTTGTAACACAAAGATAGACTTGAAATGACTTCCTTTTCCTCGTCCTCCTCGACTAGTCGCAATCTTGCTGAGCTCTTTTGTGCGGGAGAGAGAGGTTGCACGTTAATCGTATTTAAAGACCGATCTTCACAATCTTTAGTAGGCAAAATACCAAGACCCCGGAAATTATCATCCAAAAATTGACTCAAAGACAAATCTTTGGGCAACCCAGCCTGAACTAGATTCTCTTCTACTGATATTCTTCTATGGTGAAGGACTCCACTTGTTTTCAAGATCCACAAATGCAGAAGATTCTGAAAATAAGAAATGTACAGACAAGTACAGTTATTTTTCTTTCTTAAAATGTTCTCAATGCCATACCAAGATTGTGGATTAGCAAAGATATGCGTTTCAACCGAGTACTTCTCTGCCATTAAGTCTGATAGGCCTCTAGCTCGACCCAACTCCTCGACATAGAGAGCATCCCGAGCATTTCCGGTGTCACAGAGCAAAATACAAAGCAGCTTGTAGGGAAATATTCCTGAGTGCTCCAGCAATGATGTTTTGAACTCATCATTGGCGCCCAAAAAATATCTCAGCTCCTCATACTTTTCAATGCACAGATGAAGACACGACAGAGAGTCTTTGATTTTATTTTGAGATAAATACAAAATGGCGTAGCCTCGAAGGATTTCGAATTCTGTTCTTCCAGCTCCAATATCTCTGGATATGTATAAAGCTTTCTCCAAGCATACTTCCGAAGCTTCATAATCACCAAGAGTTCTAGACACTCCTCCAAGGTTTGAAAGTTGTGCTGCTTTCCCTTTCTTATCACCAATTTCAGTTGTGATGACAAGCCCTTTTTGATGATACTGTTTTGCATTATCGTATTGGCCAAGCGACTGAAACACAGTACCTAGGTTTCCATAAGATGAT